TTAAAAAACTAAATTTTATAAATTATAATATATAATAAATTAATATTAATATACTATATTAGTAATATACTAATATAGATAATATATATTTATATAATATAAGTTATATAATCAATATAATATATTATTTATATATATTAATATTAGGGATGTGAAACTGGCTCGTCGTTCGTGAACAGCTCAGGCTCGGCTCACGGCTCGGTCGTTAAAAAACGAACACAAACAATGACTTCACGAACAATTTCCAACACGAGCGTATTTCAAACAAACTAAATTTCAAACGAACTGAACACGAACACAAGCCATATTCGTTCGTGTTCGGTTCGTATACACCCCTAGTGACATGCACCACTAAATGCTTCATACCTACCATTCATAATAAATGAGAAATCTTTATATGCATCAGAAAGAAACAAAATTATGTCAGAAACTCAATTACATCAAGTAAGAAGGTGACTAACAAATTCAAACCAGATTTGATCAATGAACATAATAAATCGAGCTCTGAATATGGCCTTCAATGGCCAAAATTAGTCTTGTGAATGCGATTAATTTTAGAATCACTTTGTCAATGGTTCTAAAATTTGTAAGAAGCTGTCAACAAGTAAGCATCTTGCATAATTAATGAGGTCGGGCATAAAGGAGTCCACCATAACAAAAAATGGGGGCTAGATATAATGGTCAAATTTCAAAGAAATCAGAGTCAAAATACTTAGAAGCTAGTGCAACAAACAAATAATGAAAGAATAAAGCAATAATAAACAAAATAAATAGGAATTAGAAGGGTGGAAGATGCAAGAGTATGATCAAAATATGTTTTTTCTATTTCCTGTAAATAAGACTATCTAAAAGATTCATTGTTCCCGAATGAAAAAGTATTCCATACGAAGGTGTCCGATCTAGACCGCTCATCACAGTAAAAGTTGTATTTCGGTGTGCCCCATTTTTCATTTTTTTTTTTGAAAAAAAAAATTGATGGACTGTGGTGTGCAGTCTAGATCAAACACCTGCATGCGGTGTCCGTATGGAATAATTTTTTCTGAGAAGCACCTTGTTCGCAACACTTTTTGTGTCGGATTCTTAGCATCCATCACATTTCACATCCCTTTTTTAGGTCACCCTCACTTTTAAAATAATAAAGGTAATACTATAACATGAACAAAAGCTAAGAAGAAACAAAAAGTGTAGCTAAAAAAATATTTGTATAGAAAAATCAGTATAACATAAAACTAATATGAGTAATTCAAAGCAAATCAGACCATTTTTTTACCAGAGAAAATGTATGCAAGAGATCCTTTATAAAGACTCTCATAACCAAACTAGAATATAAAATCAAATTTATTTTATTTTGTTTTCATGAGACCTCCCACGATGACATATGATCATGATCAATTACATCTTAAGAAAAACTTAGGAATACTCAGATAAAAGGTGATATGTTTATTTTAAAATATTCTTTTGAAACATAGAAAGTCAAGGAGATTTCTAACGGTTCTAATACCAGAAATTCTCTAGTTGTCGTGGCAAAAATACACCATCATGTAGAGGATGAATCCCGTAACCTGATAGATAGATACCACTAAATTAAGAGAGCATATGGTACACATTTACAAAGACTTGGCAAAGGAAAAGATTGCGCCCAAAGGGGGTAGATCAACGAGTAGGTCAAAGAAAAACCTAGACATGTTGAGATAGCCTGGTTGGGACTCCATGGACCCATCCACCCATATTATTGAGACCCCAAATGTGCTAAGCTATGAAGGTAGTTGACCTAACCTAGAAGGAGGATCACTTCATCAAAAACTCACATGTTACATCGTCCAAAATGATCTAGTAAATTTGAAGCTAAAAGAAAGAAATGTCTAAGCTTCTATGACTATAACTAGAACAAAATGAGAATAGGGATTATACTTGCCAAGAGTATGGATAGAAATCCTATAAGAAAGAGGAAGAAGAAATAAATGACTTAGTTACAAAACTAAGCCATTTCACAAAGGACTTATAATCTCAACAGGATCAGGAAAGCCTTTAATATCATATATCGTACTAGACAGACACCTAATCATAAAAGACAAATGTTATGCGGGTCAAATTGGGAAATAAGAGTTCTCTTCTTGGGTAATATAATATGTATGTAGTGAGGCCCTATTAGAACGCTCGAGGGTAACATTCATGCATTTTATGATCATTTTAAATTGTCCTAAAAGCCAGGCAAGAAATAAAGTAACAAATTTTTAAAAATTTAATATTTTTAGTATTAAATTTTATTGAGA